AGCTTAGGGTGCAGGAGAGTATGGAGGGATGGTCACTGGGAAGTGGTACTATGGGGAGGAAGTTGGAGGGGAGCTGTTGCATTGTGGTAAACTGTGGTCATTGACATGAGACAAAGTATATGTGAACTGCTGTATGGAAAGTGAATTTGCTCTGTAAATCTTCACCCAAATCACAATAAATTTTTTTTAAAAAAAAAATTATGAAACTGTAGAGCTGGAGAAAAAATTAGTGGCAATCCAGGGCAGAGGAACTGAGGATGGTAGGAAGTGCAAGGATAAAGAGGTGGCATGAGGAAGCCTCCTTTTGGGTGACATTTACAAGAATCCATTTTGTTATTAGGTGCTGTAAGTTGGCCCCAACTCATAGAGACCCTGTGTAAAACAGAACACAACACTGCCCAGTCCCACACCATGCTCAATCCTTGATATGCTTCAGCCCATTGTTTTGGTTACCTAGTGCCGCTCTGACAGGAATATACCACAAATGGGTGTATCTCTTACAGTTTGGAGGCTTTAAGTCCGAGTTCAAAGTGCCAGGCTCTAGGGGCTGGATGGAAGCCCCTCAACTTTGGGCTTCAGCTCTGCCTTACTGCTCCCAGCCCACTGGAACTAGAGGCTTTTCTTTACTCAGACAGCTACTGGCTGCTGAGACTGACAAACCCAAGGTTGACAAGTAAAAAGGCACAGTCCAGATGTTACCAAACCGCATGGCAAGACATTAAATTAAGTCCATTGAAAGTCCCCAAGGTCAGCAGAGCATGGCAGGCTGCTGAACAGCGACACCGCTACATGCAGGGTTCAAGTGTGCCATCAGTTAAAGACCGTTCCCAAAGCTGCTGCTTTTGTACAAGAAGCAAACCACATCCCAAAGGCAGCTACTCACCTTCTCATAGTAGATTCCACCATGGGGTTGATAACCAGTCTCATCACACTGGGGAAATAGTACATTCAGCTGCCCAGCCACTCAACCACGCTCAGCCAAGCTGACGCACAACCTTAACTACCACACCCATTGTCTAGCCACTGTGTCAGTCCATCTTGTTGAGGGTCTTCCTCTTTTTCTCTGACCCTCTACTTGACCAAGCATGATATCCTTCTCCAGGGAATGGTTGCTTCTGACGATGTACTAAAGTAGATGAGGTGAAGTCTCACAGTTCTCACATCTAAGGAACATTCTGCCTGTACTTCTTCCAGGAAGGATTTGTGTGTTCTTCTGTCAGCCCATAGTATTTTCAGTATTCTTCGCCAACATCACAATTCAAAGGCATCAGGTCTTCAGTTTTCCTTATATAACTGTCTAGCTTTCACATGTATATGGGGCAATTCAGAGTATCATGGCTTGGGTTAGATGCACCTTAGTCTTCAAAGTGACATCTATGCCTCTTAACACTTTAAAGAGATCTTTTGCTGCAGATTTTCCCAGTGCAGTATGATGTCTGATTTCTTGACTGCCACTTCCATGAGTGTTTCTTATGGATCCAAGTAAAATGAAATACCCAACAACTTCAATCTTTTCTCCATTATCATGACGTTGCTTATTGGTCCAGTTGTGAGGATTTTTGTTTTCTTTCTGTTGAAGTGTAATCCATACTGAAGATTGTAGTCTCTGATCTTCATCAGTAAGTGCTTCAAGTCGTCTTCACTTTCAGCAAGCAAGCAAGGTTGTATCAGCAAGATATCACAGGTTATTAATGATTCTTCCTCCAATACTGATGCTGCATTTTTCTTCATACAGTCCAGCTTCTCAGATTGTTTGCTCAGGATACAGATTGAATAAATATGGTGAAAGGGTATAGTCCTGGTACATGCCTTTCCTGGTTTCAAACCATGCAGTATCCCTTTGTTCTGTTTGAACAACAGCCTCTTGGTGTATATACATACATGTTCCTCATGAGCACAATGAAATGTTCTGGAATTTCTATTCTTTGCAATGCGATCCATAATTTGTTATGATCTACACAGTCAAATGCTTTTGCATAGTCAATAAAACACAAGTAAACATCTTTCTGGTATTCTTTGCTTTCAGCCAAGATCCATCTGACATCAGCAGTGACATTTCTCATTTCATGTCCTCTTGTAAAACAAGCTTGAGGACTTCCAGTAAGATGGAGGAATAGGCAGACAAGCTATACACAGACCCTCTTCAACAAAGAAAAGAGAAACCAATTAACAGAGATACAGAAGATAATCCTGGAGCCCTGAGCTTTGAAAAGAAGTATACAGAAGTGGATTAGGCACCAACTTGGGCAATTTACTTATGTAGTGATAGCGCTTCAGAAACCCAAGGAGTGGTCGCTATGAGGTGGCTCCGACTCCACAGCATATAACAACAACAACAAAATAGAGAAACCTGAATGAAAACAGTGAGTATGGAGATGGTCAGAGCATTGAACTGTCAGCTCCTCTGACGGGACCAACAGCCTGAATATTTCCAAGTAGTGTTGGGACCTGAGAATTGACCCAAAGATTAGCCCTGGTCACCAAGGCCTGCAGGGACGACTGTGCTGGTGGCTGATGACTAGGAAAGGAAACAGTGAGGAGGAAGACAACCTGAGTTGTGGACTTTCAGGTGTCCTGAGGGTGCAGCCATTTTGATGGTTTACAAGTGGCAGCTGTTTTGGATATTTAACTGAGGGTGCAGCCATTTTTATTGTTTATAAACCGTGGCCATGTTGGATATTTAAAGTGACTGAGGGTACAGCCATTTTGAATGTTTATAAGTAGCGGCCATTTTGGATATTTAAAATGACTGAGGGTGCAACTATTTTGAATGTGTACAAGGGTGGCCATTTTGGATCTTAAAGTGACAGCATTCTTGTTCAAATTCCAGGGACCTAAGAATAGGCTCTGTTTGCCAAGGACAGTAGGGACATACAGGAGGCTGACAACAAGAAAGGAGACAGGTGGTGAGTTTATAAGTGCTGCCAACTAGCGAATAGGAGAGCACAGCACAGTACCCTGCTTATATAGATGATGTACAAACAAAACAAAGAAAATGAAAATCGTAGGCAAGTCACTCCAACATACAATCACTAATTAAATATAAACACAGAAATGTCACAATGCCTCAGAAAAAACAGCATCACAGTCCACACAAAGAAGCAAGATAAAGCAGGAGAAACAAGGGACCAGGATACAGACCCAAAACACATCCCTAAGGTAGATGCATCATTGGAACTCCCTGATAAGGAATTCAAAAGAATTATATTGAGGTACCTTCAATGAATTAAGAGACAGATCAAGGAAAACACGTTGAGGAAAACACAGAGAAAACTGTAGAACAATTTTGAAAGACAATACAAGAACAAAATGACAAAATAAATGAAAATTAGAAATGATACAAAATCTACAGACAGAAATCCAGAAGATTAATACTAAGTTTTCAGAAATAGATAACACGTTGAATGGGGAAAGAGTAGAATTGAATCAACGGAAGACAGAATTAGTGAGATTGAAGGCAAATACTGCAATACTTCTTTGGAAAGGGATCAATCAGGAAAAAGGTCAAAACAAAATAAAGAAAACCTAAGGTTTGTGTGGAATACCATCAGAAGGAATAACCTATGTGTCATCGGAATTTCAGAACAGGAAGAGAACAATAAAACCACAGAAAAAATTGTGAAAAGTTTGTTGGAAGAGAATTTTCCTGGTATGATGAAAGATGAGACTGTATCCATTCAAGGAGTCCAATCAACCCCAAACAGGATAGACCCCAAAAGAAAATCACCGAGACATATCATTATCAAACTCACCAAAGCCAAAGACAATCCTGAAAGCAGCATGAGAAAAATGAAGAGTTACCTACAAGCGGCAACCAATAAGACTAAGCTTGGATTTCTCAGCAGAAACCATAGGAGAGAAGACAATGGGATGGTATATATAAAGCCCTGAAAGAGAAAAATTTCCAACCAAGAATTACATACCCAGCAAAATTGTCACTCAGATATGATGGAGAAATTAGGATATTTTCAAATAAGCTGAAATTGAGGGAATTTGTTAAAACCAGACCAACCCTACAAGAGATGCTAAAGGGAGTCCTTTGGACAGAGGACCAACAACAGGAAACAATGACTGACCATTAGCACATGATAACATAACCCAGAAATCAATCCAGTTACAGAAGTATCCAAAGTAAATAAGCCTACAAGATTGTAAAGAGGGAACTAGAGACATCAATTGACAAATGAGGACAACTACAAACCCAAAAGGGAAAAAACTGTATAGTTACAGAACTTCTAAATGGTAGGGAAGTCAAGACAACTACAGGATAGAACGGAATGTTCTAAACTTGGGAAGAAAGCTGTAAATCACAGGGTAACCTCAAAGAAAAATGACAAACCTTGACATCAAAATAAAAAAGAGACCCAGCACAAATATTTAGCGAATACTAAAACAATAGCAATGAAGGAAGTGATAACATGATTCATGAACAAACTGAGCTCACCACTGAAAATTATATGGAACAAAGAAATCAACACCACAAAAAAGCACATAACAAAATAACAGCAACAGAGTCATACTTGTTGATAATCACATATCTGGCAAATGACTTATCTCTAAGATTTATAGAAAACTCCAACACCTCAACAGCAAAGGGATTAACAATCCATTTGACAAATGGGCAGAAGACATGAATAGACATTTCATCAAGGAGGATATTCAAGTGGCCAGCAAATACATGAAGAGATGTTCATGCTCAATGACCATCAGAGAGATGCAAATGAAAACAACAATGAGATATCACCCCAGCACTGATGGCAAGGTTCAACAAGACAGAAAGTAACAAATGCTGGGGGACATGTGGAGAGATTAGGATTCTCGTACACTCCTGGTGGGGCTGTGACATTATACAACCAGTGTGGAAAGCAGTATGGCAATTCCTTAAAAAGCTGGAATTAGAGATACCATTTGACCCAGCAATCCCAATACTAGGTATATATCCTAGAGAAGTGAGACCCAGGACAGGAACAGATATATGCACATCCATGTTCATTGCAGCTCTATTTACAATAGCAAAGATGGAAACAACCTATGTGCCCATCAACAGAAGAACAGGTAACCAAAGAATAGTACATACACACAATGGAATACTGTGCAACACTAAATAATATAGAGTCAGCAAAACACCATATAACATGGATGAACTTCGGGGACCATCATGCTGAGTGAAATAAATCAATCACAGCAGACAAATGTAGTATTCTTGTTGTGGAGGGTCAAGGAAAGGTTTATATATGGAAGGAAACTTTCTTTGTTGGTTGCTAGGAGGGGAGGGGAGGGAACACTGCAAAAAAAAATGCATTGACCCATGACACTTCAGTTTTGTGTATTTTACTGTACATAAATTGTTGTTGTTGTTATGTGCCACTGAGTCAGACCTGACTCATAGCGACATAAATTATAATTCAATAAAATGCATTTTAAAAAAACTTGAATTTCTGGAAGTTCCCTTTGAATACACTGCTGCAACCATTTTTTAATTATTTTCAGCAAAATTTTACTTGCATGTGATGTTAATGATATTGTTCAGTAATTTCCACATTCTGTTGGATCACCTTTCTTTGGAATGGGCACAAGTATCAGTCTCTTCCAGTCAGTTGGCCAGACAGCTCTCTTCCAAACTTCTTGGCATAAATGAGTATGCACCTCCAGTGCTATATCCGTTTGTTGAAACATCTCAATGGGCTCAGGGCTTGAATTTTTTCTTCAGTTCTTTCAGCGTGAGAAATGCCTAGCCTGTTCTTCCCTTTTGGTTTTCTAATTCCAGGTCCTTGCACCTTTCATTAAAACACTTTACTTTGTGTTCTTGAGCCACCCTTTGAAATCCTCTGCTCAGCTCTTTTCTTTCATCATTTCTTCCATTTGCTTTAGCTACTCTGCTCAAGAGCAAGTTTCAGAGTTTATTCTGACATCAGTTTTGGTCTTTTCTTCCTTTCCTGTCTTTTTATTGATTTTTTGCTTTCTTCGTGCCTGATGTTTTTGATGCCATCCTGTAACTCATCTATCTGGTCTTCGGTCATTAGTGTTCAGTGCATCAAATCTGTTCTTCAGATGCTTTCTAAATTCAGGTGGGATATAATCAAAGTCATATTTTGGCTCTTGTGGACTTGTTTTATTTGTCTTAATCTTCAGCTTGAACTTGAATATGAGCAATTTATGGTTTTTTAATATATAGGTGGGATAAAATTGCATATAATGCACACACATAAGTGCATGCATGTAAAAAATAGCAAAAAAAAAACAAACCAAACTCACTGCCATTGAGTCAGATCCAACTCATAGCAAACCCTCCTTGGGTTTCTGAGGTGGTATCACTATGGAAATAGATTACCCAACCTTCCTTCCAAGGAGTTGCTGGTGAGTTTGAACCACCAGTTTCTGGTTAGCAGTCAAATGCCATAGGCACTACGACATCAGAGGTCCTTATATGGAAAATAGGGAAAGCCAAATGAGGTTGGAATTCTAGGAAACAGTATTGTACCTATTTCACTTTCTCAGCTTTGATCCTGCACTACAGTTGTATACGATGTCATCATTGGGGGAAAATGAATGGAGCGGTATACTAGACTCTACTGGTTTTGCAATTTCTTGTGAGTTTATAACTATTTCAAAATAAAAAGTTGGTTTTTTTTTCAATTGTTGATTGAAATCTATGCATTGTTTTATCCTTCTGCCCTGTGTTTTTCAGGGACATGTTGTCTTAACTGATTTTGGGCTTTGTAAAGAAGGAATTGCTATTTCTGATACTACAACAACATTTTGTGGGACACCAGAGGTAAGAAATAAGTTTCATTTGCCATATATAAATCATGTGTAAAGTGTAAATGTAGATCACAAATTGCATATACAAAATTTGAAATCATAAAAGCAGAATGAAAAATGTCAGTTTCCAACCTGGATATTACTGATAAATATCCCTACAGAACATTTAAAGTTTACTGGTAGTTGATTTTTTAAATTATGATCATGAGAGAATACAAGATTGTTTTGAATAATCCAACAAAGATCAATTATGCTTGTTTGGTTTTAATGTTACTCATTTTTAAAAAATCCTGAATCAGTGATGAAAATGCTCTAAAATCAATTGTGATGATGGTTACACAAACCATTAATTGTACATTTTAATTGTATGAATTAAATGGATGAATTATATGGCAGGTGAATATCTCAGTGATACGGTTATTATAAAACATGAACTGAAGCAAATATAGTAAACTGTTGACATTGCCAGTGTCTAGGTGGTGTCTGTATTGGTTTCTGTTATAGTTCCCTATTTTCCATGTGGTTGAAACATTTCATAATAAAATTTAATATTTCTTTAAGAAATGAAAATAAAGCAATGGATATGAAAAAAAAAAAAAAAACCTGTTAACCATAACATTCTATTTCCTAATCATGCTAGCTAGCAGAAAACGTATATATTTGTGAAAACAGTGATAATCCTTGCAATTTATGTAGAAGTCTTGTTATTTTTTCTCACTTCACACACATATACATACAAAAATTTACTTTATATTAAGCTGTCCTGATTTTAATCTATTCCTAATAAATCTTAGATGCCAGATAGTATTTCATCATTATCCTGGAGGAATTGCAAGTGCAGTATAGAAAAAGTCTGATAACCCAGCTACCATTACTGAAGAGTTTGATTAAAAGATCAAAAGTTTGATCTATGGAGGAATCCTGATCAAAGGAGGCAGAGGGAATGCAGAAATTAATTTCAAAATCTCATGAAGTCCATACTTTCTGGAGCCATGGAAGCTGGATGAACCCCAAAAACTTGTACCTTGAGATAACTTTAAACCTTAAACCAGAAATATCTACTGAAATCTTCTTAAAACCAAACCATAGCTTAACTTAATTAATAATGTCTGCCTTGAGCACTGTGCTCTTTTAATATCTGTGTGTATGGTACCAAATTGACAACAACTACTGGAAAAATCAGACAGGAAGCTTAGGGCCAGTGAGTTTAGGTTAATAGTGGAGGAGCAAATGAACAAAGGGGTGGGAATGGTTGCATGATTCAAAGACTGTAATCAGTGTCACTGAACTACACACATGATGTCTGTTGGATTGGCATATGTTCTGCTGTGTATGTTCTCCAGAACAATAGCAAAAATAAATTGTAAAAAAAAAGAAAAGAAAAAGTATAATAAAATCGTTCATACAATACCTCTAACAGAAGTTTTAAACTTATTAAAACTACCCATAAGCAGAAACAATCAGTCCTTGCAACTGGTACACCATCTGATTTGCAACCTATACAACTATGAGACCAGAAGAACTAGATGGTGCCCGGCCACCACTGTCATCCACTTGGAAGGGATGTAGGAGATCCTGCATAGACAGGGAGAACAATTTGGAACAAAACTCAAAATCATTTGAAGGCAAAAAAAAAAGAAGGTGGGGAGCAGGTTTGCTGGTCCAATAGAGCCTGGTGGAACCACTGAGACTATGGCCCCTAGCTGCCCTTCAGGTCTGGAATTGAACCCACACCTGTGGTTTCCAGCCAAACAGAGTATAGGCATGTGAGTTAAACATTTACCTCAAGTAGACACACACCCTGGAGAGAACAATCACGGGAGAAGGAAGGGCTGCTTATGCACAGGGAGACAGCTCAGGGGGCAGGAGAGTATTTAGGGATGGTCACTGGGAAGAGGTAACTATGGGGAGGAAGTGGGAGGGGAGCTGTTGCATTGTGGTAAACTGTGATCAATGACAGGAGACAAAGTATATGTGAACTGCTGTATAGAAAGTGAATTTGCTTTGTAAATCTTCACCTAAATCACAATAAATAAATATATATATTGTTGTTGTTAAGTGCCGTCGAGTCGTTTCCAACTCATAGCGACCCCATGCACAGCAGAACGAAACACTGCCCGATTCCGCGCCAGCCCCACAATCCCTGCTATACTTGAGCCCATCATCGCAGCCACCGTGTCAATCCATCTCATTGAAGGCCTCCCCCTCTTTCGTCAACCCTCCACCCTACCAAGCATGACATCGTTCTCCAGGGAATGGTCCCTTCTTACAACATGACCAAAATAGGTGAGATGAAGTCTGGCCGTTCTTGCTTCCAAGGAGCATTCTGGCTGCACTTCCTCCAGGACAGATCTGTTAGTTCTTTTAGCAGTCCATGGTACTTTCAGCATTCTCCGCCAGCACCACAACTCAAAAGCATCAACTCTTCTTCGGTCTTCCTTATTCATTGTCCAGCTCTCACATGCATACGAGGCAATTGGAAATACCATGGCTTGTGTCAGGCGCACCTTAGTCCTCAAGGAGATATCCTTGCTCCTCAGCACTTGAAACAGTTCCTTCGCAGTTGACTTTCCCAATGCTACATGTCGTCTAATGTCCTGACTGCTGCAAATATATATATATAAAACTACCCATAAGCAATAATTATTTACTTTGAAATATACTCCTCCCCCCTCTAAAAAAGCTCTCATATTTATTTGGTAGTCAATCTATTACAGTTTATGTATAAAGAAATGTTTTTTGTGAAGGTATATTGATTTCATAGTTAACAAATCTTTCTAAAGTCCTATAGTTTTAAGAAAGGAAGCACAGGTTATTTTGTTGTCTCAATCTAAATGTGATCTGAAATTTTTTAATTTCTAAAAATTAATTTGGTCATTTCTTTGAATTATATAAAAACAAGCTTAAGAAGGAATGTTTTTCTTAGCTATATTTGGTGTGGCAAGAAGAAATAGGTACTCAGGAATCTAAAATTCAAATTTACCATCTTATATGTGTGAGATTTTGCTGTATTTAAATTTTTTTCAAATTAAAATGTAAAAGACAATCTAACTTATATGACCAAATAACACTGCTGTTAAAATTTTCAAATCAGAATGAAATTGAAAAGGAAAAAATGGATTCTATTTTAACACATGAAGAATTTTTTTGTTCAAAGAAAAAACATGATAAGACCAGAGGAGCTTCTAAAATCACTTAATCTGGTGAAAGACTTTCCCCCTAAAATACATATTTTACCCATAATATGAAAGGTTCTCTACTTATTGTTCTGTTAGTCTTAACTGCATCACAATTTTTGGAGGAGGCACTAGAATATGTGTATTTTGAAAAAGTGAAAAAGTATCCCAGTTGATTCTAAAGAGTGCATTTGCCTAGGTACTACTGGAATAAAATGAGAACACCTCCAACCTGTGGACAATTGAGATAATAGGTTTTTAGTGTGATAATAAAACCTAAGATTTGTTCAGTTTCTGAGTTGTTCCTAAATTTTAATTGTGTTGTGTATTAAAATACTCTAATATTTAATCTTTTATATAGTACCTTGCACCTGAAGTAATCAGAAAACAGCCCTATGACAACACTGTAGATTGGTGGTGCCTTGGTGCTGTTCTGTATGAAATGCTATATGGATTGGTATGTATTTTTATTCTTTTGTGACTATTTCAGTATATTATAATTAATTTGTGATTTTTTTCCCCTCTCTGTTTCTCTCTCTTTGATAGTCTTGTAGATACTTAGAAAACACAAAGTAGCAGATCAATAGTGTGGTTAAATGAATCAAAACACATTAGAGATACGCACAAGAAGTATAACTTTTCATTTTGTTATTGTTGTTGTTGTTGTTTTGCCGTAGAGTCGACCCCGACTCATAGTGACCCCTCCTTGGGTTTCCGAGGCAGTATCACTACGGAAGTAGGATTGCCCAACCTTCCTTCCGAGTAGTGGCTGGTGGGTTTGAACCGCCAGCCTTCTGGTGAGCAGTCAAGTGCCTTAGGCACTATGCTACCAGAGCTCCGTTCTTTAAATGTTCTGTTTTCTGTCATATTAATCCTACTTCAGGTAGTCTCATCCCACTGTCATTTTTAGCAAGTTACCTAGTTGTAGCATTAAAATTACCTTCTTTCCTAATTTTGAACCACATAATAAACCAAACCAAACTCACTGCCATTGAGTTGATTACAACTCATAATGACCCCCATTGGGTTTCCAGGGCTGTAAATCTTTAGAGAAATAGATTACCCCGTCTTATTTCCACAGAGCAATTAGTGAATTTGAAGCACTAGCCTTCTGTTTAGCAGCCAAGTGCCTTATCCACTGTTCAAATAGTTTAGCTTAATTAGTACAGTATTTCTGCCTTAAGCAATGCCAGTTCAAAGAATTGTACTCTTTTAAAGAGTTTTCTATATGGGATCAAATTGACAACAGCAGGTTGAAAGGTTAAATGAGAAGCTTAGGCATAGTATTTTTACATTGAGGGTGGTGGAATAATTTTGAAAAGGATAGAATGGTTGCACAACTTAAAGAATGTACTCAGCTCTGGTAGCATAGTGTCTAAGGCATTTGACTACTAACCAGAAGGCTGGCGGTTCAAACCCACCAGCCACTCCTTGGAAGGAAGGTTGGGCAATCTACTGCCATAGTGATACTGCCTCACAAACCCAAGGAGGCGTTGCTATGAGTCAGATCTGACTTGATGGCAATGCTTGCAATGTTACTGGATTGTACAGGTAGAAACTGTTGAAATGGTTTATCATTTGCTATGTATATTTTCATACAAAGTAAATAAATAAAATTACCCACTTTCATTTTGTTTATTCCAAACATCATTCCTGCCTAGTATCAAAAAATTGAAAGAAAAAAAGTGTATTTATTGACATATTATTTTATTTCAAAAGATGATGCCTTTGAGTATTTGTTATGTAGTTTGTAGGATTAACTTAGTACAATCTCTTTTTCACTATTGAGGATTCTGTATTCCTTTTCTCACACATGCCCTGTTTTGAAAATTTCATGAGGGAAGAAAAAAAGATGCTTACTAATAATTTTCCCACATTTTATTAAAGCCAGCAAGATCTTCTGATTAACGTGAGTTAAATTGTTTTCCTACATCGAGTTAATGTTCTAACCCAAACCACACTCTTTAGGCAGTTTATTTAGTGTATATATCCTAATGGGAAGTAAATTTTGCTTTTCTTTAAACATTTTGAAATATTCAGAGTAGCTTTTAAACTCCTGTATATCACAATCCCTAAATTCTCCAGCAACATCATGCTGGGAACCATGATCCTGATACCGAATGCTGTTACTGCTACTGGTAATGCTAACTACTGGTCTCAGCTGAGACCTGAACTTGGTTTTTGTGCTGGTGGTGATTTCCCTGAAGGCTTTGAAGCTCTCGATGAAATTTGCACATGAGGTGCATTTTAGAACATTTGTTTCATGTTACTAATTTTGAATGATAAATTCCTATGAAAGCCAAGAGTATCTCTTTGTCCTTGACTAAATTCCCTTGTTAAAAGATCTGGTTTTATGGTTAAGGTTAGAACATTTGATAACCACTTTATATCTTATCCAAGTGCTGGATATTTTTCTTAGTATTTCAATATCCTTTCAATTTCTTTAGAGAATTTTGAAAGTATAAAATATTAATGTATGTAAAATACAATTGATTCAGAAGGGAACATTGAAACATGTTTCCTTAGTGAGACTTAATTTTTATAATTATTTTAAAAGTTAGATTTTAAAAAGTAAAAGCAAAGATTTTTCTGTGTGTGCACACCTGTGCACGTGTGTGTGTGTGAAACAAGGCTATGGACTCCATTTACTTTTAAACTAGATGATTAACTGGCTTGTTTACATGTTGATGTTGTATCCCTGATGCAAAGTACACCCATAATGTTGTCATTGTCACAAGTATCTGGGAAGGAGTACTATTTTTAATTAGTTTATTTCAAAATCTATAAGAAATTACGTAGTGTTGGTCTATGTTGAATCTCTGTTTCCAGTAGTTTTATCACTATCCTTATGAGAAGGTTGGTGATTATTTTCTCTAACGCAGATTCTATTACATGTTTTATGGAATTTAACACTTGCTCATAAGGTACTAATGAACAAATGAACTGGCCCTGATTCATCCAGTAAATGGGTGTTAAGCTCTGTGGTATAGTGAGCCTTGGGATCTTGGGGTAGCAGGAGACCACAGTACATATGTACATGTACCCAAAAAGCCTTGCACGTCTATGACTGTATAGACTGCTGCCTGCAGCTAGAGGCAAGATCCTACTATTTTAAGCCGAATTTAGGTATAGTTCAGTTAGCACTAATTTCTTTATTTTGATTTTTTTTAGCCTCCTTTTTATTGCCGAGATGTTGCTGAAATGTATGACAATATCCTTCACAAGCCCCTAAGTTTGAGGCCTGGAGTGAGCCTTACAGCCTGGTCTATTCTAGAAGAACTTCTAGAAAAAGAGAGGCAAAATCGACTTGGTGCCAAAGAAGACTTTGTATGTAACACCTTCCCTAGTACTGACTTTATTTAAGCTTATTTAAAATGGGGAGATGAATCCTTATTGTATGTGATATTTAATGTGATGGCTACAACCATTAAAGAATAGCAGCACCATGAGAAAGAAGCATACATACATGTCTCAGCAGTTGCCACCAGTATCTATATAGAACTGAACAGTGTTTAAACCACTTTCAGGTACATTTTTTTCATTTACGACAATTTTCCCTTCCATTCTTTCTTTCTTAAAAAAAAGTTGTGTGGCACACATTTTTATAACTCCTAATTTTTTTTTAATCATTTTATTTAACAAAAATGTATTAAGTGTCTTCTGCATGAAGTAACACCTTTTGCTTTGAACTAGCATTAAATCACCTTGTTAAAAGAATTTGGTGATGTCTCCTTGAGATTATTATGGAATCTACAGATTCAGGAGCTCTGGTAGCATAGTGCCTAAGTCACTTGACTGCTAACCAGAAGGCTGGCGGTTCAAACCCACCAGCCACTCCTTGGAAGGAAGGCTAGGCAATCTACTTCTGTAGTGATACAGCCTCAGAAACCCAAGGAGGGGTCGCTATGAGTCGGGTCTGACTCAACAGCACTTAACAACAACAACAACAGATTATTTGTTTTAAATTAGAGTAATTAAATTGCTAGTACAATTATCAGTTTTATATGTGTCAGTAAATTCACAAAAGATTGAGGAACGATTACTATTGGAAGCTGTTTTCAATCTTCAACTTGATCTGTAACACCTCTACCCCACCCCCAGCTCAGCAGGTAGCTCTGCCAACAGTTTGCTGTTGAGCTCAGATTCCATAGTCCACTGTTTCAGTAAATCTTGCTGATGCTCCTGACTTTTTGTTGAATATGCTACCAGAAATTGCAACCTTTGGTAAATCTCTCTCACCTCCTATGCTACTGAACCAAAGCCAACCCTCTGCTGTTGAGTTGATTGTGATGCATAGCAACCCTGTATGACAGGGTAGAACGCTGTAGGGTTTCCAAGGCTGTAACTCTTTATAGAAGCAGACTGCCACATCTCTCTCTCCTGGAGTGGTTGATGGGTTCATACTGCCGACCTTTTGGTTAGCTGCTCAGCACTTTGTCTATTGCACCTCTAGGTCTCCTGTGAAGAAAGTTACACAACTGGTCATATTGGAGCAAGTATAAAATCATAGTTACTAAGCTCTTTTTCGACTGTGTGGATCATGACTAATTATGGATAACATTGCAGAGAATAGGAATTCCAGAACATTGAATTGTGCTCATAAGGAACCTGTACATAAACCAAGAGGCTGTCATTAGAACAGAACAAGGGGATACTACATGGTTTAAAATCAAGAAAGGTGTGTATCAGGGTTGTACACTTAACCCTACTTAGTCAGTCTGTACCCTGAAGAAGCTGGATCCGAGAAGCGGGACTGAATGAAAAAGAATGCAGCATCAGGATTAGAGGAGAACTCATTAACAACCTGTAATATGCAGATGACACAACTTTGCTTGCTGAAAATAAAGAAGACTTGAAGCACTCACTTACTGATGAAGATTAGAGACTGCAGCCTTCAGTATGGATTAGGCCTCAACTTAAAACAAAAAGCTTCACAATTGAACCAGTGGTCAACAACATGCTAAATGGAGAAAAGATTGAAGTTGTCAAAGATTTGGATCCACAATCAACACCCAGGGAAGCAGCAGTCAAGAAACCAAACATCATGACCAGAGAGTCATGGCAGGATAGGCATTTAGGAAGTTTCTTCCCCTCTTTGATTGAGTATTGGTGGAAAGGAGTACAGGTAAAACTGTAACGAAAGGAGGAATTATGCTTCTGGAAAAATCTCGAAGAGTACTGCAAGCAACAGTAGTAAATGTTGGAACAGGATCTAAAGGAAAGGGTGCAGAGATTCAACCAGTTAACGTGAAAGTTGGAGACAAAGTTCTTCTCCTACAGTATGGAGGCACCAAAGTAGTTCTAGGCAACAACATTATTTCTTATATAGAGATGATGACATTCTTGGGAAGTGTGTAGACTGAAATCACAATTAAAATGGCATCACGTGAAGCTGCCCCTTCTACTGAAGTTTTTAAGTCTTTCACCATGTAAATAATCTCTCTGTTCTCTTTTGTAATAAGCTAATGATATTCAGTGTCTCTAACATTTAGTTTAGGAGCCACTCCTTGGAGGGAAGGTTGGGCAATCTACTTCCGTAGTGATACCACCTTAGAAACCCAAGGAGGGGTCGCTATGAGTTGGGTCTGACTTGATGGCACATAACAGCAACAGCAACATTTAGTTTCACTATGTTAAAATAAATATTTCCAAATAAAAATACATAAATCAATGGTTAAAAGAAGAAGAAGAAAGAAAAGAAATGAAACATCCTGAAGAAAATCAAAGACAAGGAAACAATTAGTCCAGAGGGTAATGGACCATGTGAACCCCAGCCTCCGTGACCGTAAGACCAGAATAAGTAGATGATGTCCAGCTACCACTGCTGGCCACTCTGAAATGGATCAGAAGAGGAGGTCCCAGAGAGAGTGGGAGAAAAATGTGGAACTACACTTAGATCTTAAAAAAGACGAGGCTTACTAATCTGACAGAAACTGGTGGAAGCCCTGAGACTGTGGCCCTTAGACATTCTTCAAGTCAGGAACTAAACTCACCGCCATGACTCACATGTCAGCCAAATGGTAGGCCTGTAAGGTGAGCAATAATACCAGGAAGGTACGTGCTCATTAGAACAGTTAACCATGTAAGATCAAAAGGGTAGCATTTACCTACCAATAAAGCTAGAAGGAAGGAAGGGAATAGGAAAACAGGGTAAAGGGAAATGGTAAACACAGGGAGGAAGTGGGGAAAATGCTGTTACATTGTAAGGATTGCAATGAATGTCACAACAAAGTTTATATGAATTGTTGAATGGAAAACCAATTTGCTCTGTAATCTTTCATCCAAATCACAATTTAAATAAATAAATAAATAATCGAACTTTGTATTGCATTAGGCAGATCTGCATAGGGCTTCTTTAAAATATTCAAAAGCAAAGATGTCAATTCAAGGACTAAGGTGCACCTGACTAAGCCATGGTATTTTCAGTTACCTCATATCCATGCAAAAGCTGGAAAATAGAAGACCCAAGAATTCATGCCTTTGAATTATGGTGGTAATAAAGAATATTGAACCATACTGTGGACTGCCAGAAGAATGAACAAATCTGTATTGGAGGAAGTACAGCCAGAATGCTTCTTAGAAGTGAGGGTGGTGAGACTTGGTCTCACATACTTTGGGCTTGCTATCAGAAGGGACTAGTCTCTGCAGAAGAACATCATGCTTGGTAAAGTAGAGGGTCTATGAAAAAGAGAAAGACCCTCAGTAAGGTGTGTTGACAAAGTGGCTGCGCCAGTGGGCTCAAACATGGAACATGGCTCAAGACTGGGCAGTGTTTCATTCTGTTGTACAAAGAGTTGCTATGAATCAGAACTGAGTTAATGACACCTGAAAACGAACTCTTCTGTATTCCCCTACTGCCAGATAATGCTTCTGTGTTTCTCTATTCAGCTGACTCTCCTACTCTGTGTAATACCTATTTCAAACCTTCTCTCTAAATTTTGATTGCTTTGTTTCTTCCTCACTTTTAGTAGATGCTTCCTATTTTATAAGGAAAGTAGAACCATTAGAGGGGAACTAACTCAGCTTCTTGCTATCATATTTGCAGAACAGCACACATCTACACCTGTTTTCCTTCTTCTATTCTAGTGGCAAAGGTCAGTTTCTACCTATGCACTGGATCCCATCCTCTTGCAAGGAATCCTGTGAATGCTTTTTTCTGCACAGACAAGTAATTAAATATCATGACATTTCCTTCATCTTCAACCCCACTGTCCTGCAAGCTACCACTCTGTCTTCTCTTCTCCATAGCCAAGCTTGTTGAACATTTTCTATACTCCCTCCCCCTTTCTCAATCTCTTCTCATTTCTCAGTCTGTCACAGAACAGCTACTAAAATTGCTGGGTACTTCTGTTGTTTACCTGGAGCTCTCAGCAGCTTTTAAACTTTCAGTTCTCTCCTAGTTCCCTAGGTTCAGCAAGAGCACCCACTCATCTCACACTTTCTGTACTTCTGAGCCTTCCTCCGTAACCTCTATAAATAGATGCCTCTTCTTCAACTTGACTTAAATTTTGTAATTTCTTGGAGTTGTCCTCAGACCCTCTTTTCTTCCTTCTGCTATGCTTTCTTCCTGGACAGTCTGAATTAGTGCAATAGCTTGAGTTATGTGTATGCCATCATCTCTCGCGTTTTTATTTTTGCCCAGACCCCCCTTCTGAACTTTGTTGTTGTGTTACAGACTTACACAATATCTGTATGTTCAGCACTACAACTTGGAATTTTGAGAGTAACTCAAACTCAGCATGTTTAAACTTGAACTCCTACTGTGTTTCCTAATTAAATGTTATCACTTTCCATCTGGCTGGTCAAGTCAGAAATCAGATCATTTTTGATTCTTATCTCTTAATTCCATATTCACCAACACTGAGGTCTTGTTGCATCTGTCTACTAAATCTTTCCTGTATCTGGACATTTCTCTCTACCCACACTGTTCCTACTCTTTCCTTAGCCACTGTCATGTTTTGACCAGAGTAGTAGATATTTTTCCTTTGTCTAGTCTTGACTCTCCAGTCTATTTCCCCATTACAGCTAGAATGTCTTTAAAAATAATTAATAATAATAATAATACAGTTGTGACCTTCCCCTACCAAAACCCTTTGATGGCTTCCCATAAACTGGAAAAAATCCAAAATTCTTAATTTAGTCCCTCTATGATATGGCCCCTGTCCACCTCTTTAACTTCACTGTGTGACAATTCTCATCCTTCTCTATTGCAGCCATATTGGACTCTGCTTTTCTTGTCCAAACTAACCTCTTTGCCACCTCAGAACCTTTATGTTCTGCCTGGACTGTTTCCCCTCAATCTTTTTCCTGGCTAATCTTTACTCATCCCTCAGATATCTGACTAGATATCACTTTCTTTAAGTGTTTTCTGACCCACAAAACTAGGTTGGATCCCACTTTTACATTTGCATGGCGCCTTGCAGGAAAAAAAGCTAGAAGCAATACTGTGCCAACTTTTGATAGTGCCAACTAGAGTGGAATATTTTCTTGGTAGTAGCATTTATCATCTCGGTTTTACCTCTGTTCCACTGTGTAGAACTCTTCTCCAGACTTCTTTATATCCCTTATTCAGGAAGTAATAATTCTTTGTGTTATGTAGTGCTTTTCATAGCAGTTTTATTTTCATATTTTCTGCTGATCCTTAACACAGCCCTGTAAAGTATCTAGGGCAGAAGTGTTAACTACATTTCACGTATGAGGAAGCTGTGACTGGGAAGAGATTTCTAAGTAACCATCTTTCATGTCTGGCCTGTCAGTCCCAGTACACTGTTTTATCATGTGAATAGCATAAACATGTATCTAAAAAGAATCATTGAGGAACAAAATTGTAGTAATTTGGCATCTTATTTCTTCAGAATTAGTAAAAAAAAATATATTTCTTTAATATTCTAGCTTGAAATTCAGAATCATCCTTTTTTTGAATCACTCAGCTGGACTGACCTTGTGCAAAAGAAGATCCCACCACCTTTTAATCCTAATGTGGTACGTATATATCTAAATCTTTGTTTCTAAAATAGTATAACATAAACTGTAGTCATTACAGTTGTAGCAATAGATCTCAAAATCTAACCTCAGTGAAATAGAGTTAGTACCTATTTGTGAAATATGGTATACTACCAATAAGATTATAATTATATTAGGTTGATAAAAATGTTTTCCAGCACATTAGTTGTGGAGTTTTCTTGGAGCATGTTTAAGAAAAGAATGAGTCCATTAGATTTAAAAATATATATATATATAAATTAAAGTAACACTGATACACATTTTTTTCTATACTAATGCTCTGGTAGCATAGTGCCTAAAGCACTTGACTGCTAACCAGAAGGCTGGCGGTTCAAACCCACAGGCCACTCCTCAGAAGGAAGGTTGGGCAATCTACTGCCTTGGAAACCCAAAGAGGGGTCGTTATGAGTCAGGTCCGACTCGATGGCATATAACAGCAGCAATGTAAAAACAGATGCAGGAAAAAATTGGTAATGTAAGGTAAATTGTTACATCTTTTTTGGAAAACAGTAATACAATATACTGTAAAAATATTCATGTTAGGTCAACATTTTAAATCTACTGATGGGCATATTTCAGAAAGATGCATCACCAAAGATGTGCTTCACAGTATTAACAATGTTGAAAAATGTTTGGAAAAAAATATTTAATAGAGAAACTGTTGTTAATAACCATCTGTTAGCTAGTAATCATATTAGTAAATATTAATAGCTTTCTATGTACCAGGCAAAGTGATGTACACTTTTGTGCATACCTAATACATAATTTACTCTTCAATAAGCTACCAAGTTTCTGCTATTACTATTGTTATTACTATGTATGAGGTTTTTTTGGCCTAATAGACAGATTTATTTATTTATTTTGTTGTTATTTTAATGGATGTTTACAGAGCAAATTCGTTTTCCATTCAGTAGTTCACACACATCTTGTTTCATGACGTCAAGTGCAATCATCCCCATAAGGTGACAGCTTTCTTCCCAGTTCCTCCCTAGGTTACCTTTTCCCTGTGTCCTTTCCTATGCATTCCTGCCCTCTGCGCTTTCTCCCTGTGAAAATGCTGCCCTTCTGATCTCCATTGGTTGGTTGTTCTAAGGAGTGTACCTACCTGGTATAAATGTTTACCATATAGGCCTGTCCATTGGCTGCCTGGAAACCATAGGAGTGAGTTCAGTTCCAGGCCTGAAGGATGACCAGGGGCCATAGTCTTAGGGGTTTCACCAGCCTGGTCTTTTTTATGATTTTGAGTTTTGTTTCACATTTTTCTCCCACTCTATCCAGGATCTATTTTGATCCCACTCCCAAGTGCTTGACAGTGGTAGCCAGGTACCATCTGTTTCTTCTGGTCTCAGGGTCATGTAGGCTGAGGATCACATGGTCCACTAGTCCCATACGTCTTTGGTTTTCATCATTCTTCTTTGCTCCGAATGCAGAGAGACCAATTTTTGCATCTTAGATGGCCACTTACTATCTTTTAAGACCCCAATTGCTACTCAACAAAGTAGGATATAGAACAGTGTTTTTGTATAGTATGTTAACCCAGTTGAGCTTGATGTCCCCTGTGAACATGGTTGTCCTTAGCCTGTGAGCCCAGTGACTCATTCCCTCAGGTTATTTGGCTGTGGCTAAGAAGTTATCATAACTTTGCCCCCGTAGCTCTATTTTATATATTTGGACATTCTTACAGCATGTACAAATGCGTATGCAGAAATATCACCTGCCAAATTATATATGGTCATGGGTATATTCCTTTTTGCCTAGACATACCCTACTGTGCATATTTCATAAATAAGGAAATGGAAACTCAGAGATGTCACATAGCTGGACAAAAAGCAGCAGAGCCACAGTTTAAATCTGTTCCTGCTCTAAAGTCAGTATTCTTTCTGTTAAGCAGTATAGCCTTTTCTTGTTGAGTAAATGATAATAAATATTAAAATGAGTAAAACATCCTTCTCGTGGTAAGTGATAACATGATAATTAAGATATTTGTGACTTATGATTACAGCTATAAAAATAGGGGTAATACCTGGAAGAGAATATAAACCAAGGTTGATTTGGGGTGTTAGGATCATAGGCAAATTATGTTTTCTTTTATTTAAAGATTTACTGTTGTTGTGAAGATTAGGAAGTACTTTTTTAATGATGTTGTTGTTGTTGTTATGTGCTGTCGAGTCAGACCCGACTCATAGCAACCCCTCCTTGGGTTTCCGTGGTGGCATCACTACGGAAGTAGATTGCCCAACCTTCCTTCCAAGGAGTGGTTGGTGGATTTGAACCACCAGCCTTCTGATTAGCAGTCAAGTGCCTTAGGCACTACGTTACCACAGCTCCTTTATGATAGAGCAGGATAATGACATCACTGCCAGGAAGTATTATATAGTCTGCTCCAGCTTTGTCAAAGATTAGTTTAAGAGCATAGCTTATAAACCAAACCCATTGGCAAGTCAATTCCAACTCAAGACAACCCTGTAGAACAGAGTAAAACTGACCCATAGGGTTTCCAGGTTTCCAGGGCAATAAATGTTTATGGAAGGAGACTGCAACATCTTTCTTCCATGGAGCAGCTGGTGGGTTTGAACCACCGACCTTTTGGTAGCATCTAAGCACTTAGCCATTGTCCCACCAGGGTTCCTTCATAACTTACATGAAAAAACCTAACCCACTGCCATCTAGTCAATTCAGATTCGTAGTGACCCCATAAGACAGGGTAGAAGTGCCCCATAGAGTTTCCAAGGCTATAAAGCTTTACATAAACAGACTTCCTCATTTTTATCCTGCGGAGCGGCTGATGGATTTGAAATGCCGACCTTTTGATTAGCAACTGAGTGCTTCTCTTGTATACCACCAGAGCTCCTACTCATAGCTCATGGCTGATATTAATTAAGAGGTGTGATATGTACACATTGAGACATCACAGTGTTTGTAAACTGACTGATAACATGTAGCTCATCCAAAAGTGACTTTCAGAAGTGATTATTAGAGATGATTTCTTTCCCTAATTTCTGGAGTTTATAGTAGGAACCCAAGATCCATAAGAATGCTTTTTTCTTTATAGAGTCCTTTAGTTTTTGTGGCCTCAAAGAAATGTGTCATTAAGCACACTAAGGAGTAGGGATTCCTTGTAAGCAACTTTGGAAATGGAAACAGCATTGACTTTATAATACCTCCAGGTTTGAATCCTGCTCTTCTGTGTCTAATTAGAGGCTAAGTTGTTAACCTCTCCAAGCCCTTATTTTGCTTTTTCCTAACATGGGTTGTGAGGTTTAATTTAGATAATGCTTGTAAACCATCTGCATGTGTTGCACATAATAGTTATTCAATAAATACTGATTGTCTTCTTCCTTTCCTTATGTTTGAGAATTTGTCAGTTAAATATATATAGACACTTAGATAGAAAACACAAAGAAATATTCCTTTAAGAATAACTACAGTTAAAGAGACAGAATGTATATAAAGAGAGAAGAAAAATTAAATTACTATATGGTTGCATGTATTAGGCATTTAGGGAAGTGCATTGAATTGAAATATGTAACGTGAGGCAACAAAAGAGATGCCTCATAGTAATTTATGGCTACATCTATGGAAAGAAAAAAAAGCTGACAAATTATTTTTGATCCTTACTCTTCCTAACTATCAACAAATTGAATTCATTGAGTTTGAGTCTGGTTTTTAAAATTTAAAAAGGGAAAGAAAAAGTTGGGTTATTTACTATACTCAGCTTCACTATTTCTATGATAAATACTTCTAGCAGTTAATAGAAGTGCTTCCAAAAAAACTTTATTTAGTTGTGCAGTTCAATTATATAATCCAAATAGTCTGATTTATAAAAGTATCAGTCACTTTATTTCCCTGTTAACAGTGGGTAAATATTTCTGAATTCATTTTTGTTTTAATCCTCAGAATTAAATTTATATTACTAAATAGTTTAATCATCTTCATTTCCTTCTCTCAAGATTTGAAAACCAAGACCAAACCCATTGCCATCAAGTAAGTTCTGGCTCATAGTGACCCCCCATAGGATTTCCAAGGCTGTAAATGTTTATGGAAGCAGACTACCCCATCTTTCTCCCACAGAGCAGCTGTTGAGTTAGAACCACTGACCTTTTGGTTAGCAGCCCAGTGCCTTACCACGTGCCACCAGATCTCCTGTTACTATCAAAGAGAAGGGTTAATAGCAGTTGACTAATACAAGGAGCCTTGGTGTTGTAATAGTTAAGCACTCAGCTGCTAACCAGAAGGTCAGAGGTTCGAGCCCATCGGCAGCATCTCTGGAGAGAAGACCTGGCCATTTGCTCCCATACAGATTACAGCCTAGGAAAGCCTATAAGACAGTCCTAATTATGTTCTATTAGGGTCACTATGAATCAGTTCAATGGCACAGCACACAGCAGCAACAACAATACAAGTAACATAATGGGTAGGTTATATCTCAGTACCAGCCATGAAGTCATTGGCAAGATTCTTAAAAAGCTAAATATAACTATTGGTCTCATTTATTGAGTGCCTTCTACATGTCATGTTCTGGGAATTTTATGTATTAACTCATCAGATCCTCACAACAAACTTAAGAGCTAGGTAGCAGTTTTCTAATTTTATACAAGAGGAAACAAGATTTCACAGCTAGAATTCAAACTTTAGTCTAGAGCCCATATTTCTGGGGGTATATGTAAGAATTTGATGATATGGTATGTGTTTGTGTATGTGTATATATATAATCTCTCATATTCTTTCTCATCTGGGGACGATTTTCTCATATGGAAGGCCTCTACCATGCAGGAGCTCTGGTAGCATAGTGCCTAAGGCACTTGACTGCTAACCAGGAGGCTGGTGGTTCAAACCCACCAGCCACTCCTCGGAAGGAAGGTTGGGCAATCCTACTTCCGTAGTGATAACTGCCTCGGAGACCCAAGGAGGGGTCGCTAGGAGTCGGGGCCGACTCAATGGCAAATAACAACAACACCACCATGCAGGCTCATTATATCCTTGGCTTATAGTTCTAAATCCTCATCTATTCTCCTGAGTTAGACTTGATGACTTTACATTTTAAGGATTCCCTTTTCCTTTGAAGGAGCACTGTGGTGCCGTGGTGCAACACTCAGCTGCTAACCAAAAGAATGGAGGTTCAAAACCAGCTGCCCAGCAGCTCTGTGGGAGATAAACCTAGCAGTCTGTTTCTGTAAAGATTACAGCCAAGAAAACCCCAGGGGACAGGTCTGCTCTTGTCACATGGGGTTGCTATAAGTTGAAATCCACCCAGCAATAACAACTTCACCCAGCAATAACAACTTCCCTTAGAGCAGAGATAGCCTAGGATTTTAGGGGTGGACTTTAAGAATGAATCACCTGAATTTGTCTCCCAATTTTCACTTGCAGATGCATCAGAAGAAGAGTGTCTATTAGCATAAGCAGCCTCCACACTTCATTTCCCATGTGCCTTGTCCCACTTAGGCCCTAGCTGTATGTTTCATGGCATTCTCTGTAGCACAGAAAGAGTCACCTCCCACAGTTTTATTTATAACCCCTTCACCCAGCCAGAATTAAGGAGCAAGGTTAGCAGACATATATGGCAGCTCAAATGCAAAATGTTAACCTTACAACCTACCTGAGCCCCTTCTCTGAACTTAGAGGTGATGATGGATAGAGGAAAAAGGAGAAGTTATAGTACCTGGGATTCCAGTTAGCATAGATTCCCACATGTGATGCTGGCCTTCTCTACCCCACTTTTGATATCTATACTTGCTAGGACTAAATGTACAACTCATAATACAGTTTTAATGAAGGACTAAATTCATGAAAGAAAGACTGTCTTAGTTATCTGGTGCTGCTGTAAAAAAAAATACCACAAGTGGATAGCTTTAACAAACAGAATTCATTCTGTCACAGTTTAGGGGACTAGACATCTGCATTTAGTACTCCGGCTGAAGTGGAAGGCTTTCTCTCTCTTTTGGCCCTGGAGAAAGAAGATCTTTATTTCTTTTCAACATCTGTAGTCTCAGCATTCCTTGGAGATATGCATGTACCTTGGCATCAGTCTTCCCTTGGGTCTAGCAGGTTCTCAGTGCAGGGACTCTGGGTCCAAAGGACATGTTCTACTCTTGGCTCTTCTTTTTTGGTGGTAGTTAGATCCCTTTGATCTCTGTTCACTTGTTTAATCTCTTTTATATCTCAAAAGAGATTGACTCAAGATATAACTTATTCCTGTAGATTGTATCCTGCCTCATTAGCATAACTGCCTGTAATCCTGCCTTTTACAATACACAGGATAATTATATCAGATCACAGAATGAAAAACAATTACAAAATACTGAGAACTATGGCCCTACCAAGTTGACATGTATTTTAGGGGGACACAGTTCAGTACATAACAAAAGCTAACTTCAATAATTGTATGCTTTTGATGTTTAAGGCTGGACCAGATGATATCCGGAACTTTGATGCAGCATTTACCGAAGAAACAGTTCCATATTCTGTATGTGTGTCTTCTGACTATTCTATTGTGAACGCCAGTGTACTGGAGGCAGATGATGCATTCCTTGGCTTCTCTTATGCACCTCCTTCAGAAGACTTATTTTTGTGAAGGGTTTGCCATTCAGAAACATCGAGCAAATAAAAACTTATGAATGGGACTGAAATTCCTATTTGTGTGAATATAAAAACTATGTCTAACTAGTGCCTCATTTTTACATGTAATGTTGGTAACTATGAAAATGTATTTTTTGCTGTATGCAAGAAAATAGGGCATTTCAAAGAGCTAAATTTTGAATTAAAATTTGTATTCTTGTTAATTAAGCTTATTTTTAAATAGAACTTTAAAAGCTATTAGCATTAACCTATTTTTTAAAGAAAACTTTTTTGCTGTTGACTGTTTCCCTCTTAAGTTTACACTAACATCTACCCAAAATAGACTGTTTTTCAAGAATCTATTTCAGTTCACTTGATATATATTAATGTCTTTTTAACTCTGTTACGACTTTTGTTTTTAAATCAGAACTATGCAATTGGTACATGGTGGTTTAAGAAGAAACCACATCTTTCCACATTAAATCACTGTTTGAAATAATCATATCATGGTAGAATTAAAACATAAATGCATAATTAACATATTGGCAACTAGTTAAACTTTGAATAACAATTCATTCTGTAGATCACTTTAAGAACTAAAAAAGAAAATTCTTTGCTTTTGAAATACCAATTCAAATTTGTGAATTATTTTTTCTTTGGAAGAAAAGGAGAGGTTTAATAGTTAGAAATTTTAGGTATTCCCAAAGATCTGAAGAGTAATAAGTACTGCTGAATATTTTTTAGGTGGTGCCAAAAATGAATGTTTCTGTGTCATATATTTATATTGCAAAAGTTTTCTATTTATTTTCACATTGTTAGTTTTTGATGTTATGAATGTTTAATACACTGTTAAGTAGTCTAGTCCTTGGCATTAGCTTTTGCAAATAACTGTTTCAGAACTTTCTAATTGGTTGATAAGTAGAAAAAATTAGAGCTTTTTAGAGTATTTACCTAATTGGGAATTAAAAAGTAGAGTATCATATACTGAGTCATTGTAAAAATGCACAGTTTCATTATGATGTGACAAAAGTTAAAAATAATTCAAGCAAATGCATATTTAGAATCTTATGTCTCTTAGAAAAGTACAAGAAACTGACCTTAAAATCATTACATGGCAACTAACTCATGCACTTGTAATTGTGAAAGAGAATAATTACATAAAAACTTTAGAAGTTAAAATTCTGTTTCTTTGCTTGGTGTAGAGGTTTTTTTAAGTCATACGGGAAACACTGTGAAAGGGTTCAGTGATCTAGTTTGCTCCAAGCACAAGCATTCCTTGTATGTATTTGTCTCAAGAAAGAAATCACAAAAATATTTCACGTCGGTCCCCTCTGGCTTATAAATTTTCAGTAGAATGGAGTGGGGTTCTTTTGTTATTAAATTAATAGTACTTACATCTAACACACTGAATCTTCTTTCAGAGATAAGACTTCATGTACACTGTAAATATTTGGTTTATTTGGCACTACTGTAAATGGGTAAGTTCTGCTTTTACACAAGTTCTTTGTTTATTACAGAGCAAAATAAAAACCAGCTACTTAGGATTTTCTTTCTTTCTCAGCCACTACGTAATTGAACTGCCAAAAATGGAAGTGCAATATTGTATATTTTTAAGAAAAATTTTAAATAGTTTTGATGTTTCTAGGATCTCAAGAAATCTATGTGGATAATAAAACTTGAAAAAGGATTAATGGTCAACTAATGCTTGTCATTATTTGAAATTAATATGAGTAATGGTTACAGTAATTGCAAAAATAAATTATGTGTGTGATGAAGAAAGTGTAAAAGTTGAACAAAATATGTAGGTACACATGTAAATGACTAGATTATTATAGGTTGGCATTTTTAACATCACAGAACAAAATCTCATCCAGATTTAAAGTTTATCTTTTCTCTCGGAGCATGCCAGTATTAGAACTCTTTAGGCCTTTCAGTGCTTAACTATTTCATGATTACTTTTAAAATAAACTCTATGGTGTAAATGATGATTCTGTAGTATTCTTCATGTTACCTTTCTTATTTTATTGCATATGATACAGTGTAGTGCTTTCAAACTATTCCTACATCATCACTCATACAGAAAATTATAAATTTTGTTTGGCACACCTAGGGGAGGTATTAAATGACATAAACACAGCAGCAGACACAATGTATTAATATATACCAAAATAATACTTAAATTTAAGAAATTTACAAAGGGAGCCAATAAACACTGTTCAGGTATAATTAAGGCAATGATAAATACTTGAGTAGTGATTTAAATATTCTAAATTTACCACTATAAAAAAGTGTACCATTACAACATCTTTTTAGTATACCAGTAAATGGTACAGTTTATACATGCACACACACACACAAATACAAAATATTTTGTATAAATACATACAAAAATACAAAATATTTTTGTAGAGTCACTACAAAAATGTTTTGAGTCACTCTTTGAAACAGGTACTGTATAAAAAGTGGGAGTAGGTGTGCAGTAACATTTCTGTTAATACTGGAATGATTTCTTCAGTAAAGCATGTTTAAATTGGTAATTTGTCATACATGCAGTTTGAATGTTAACTATTTTTTATGTGAAATTTTCTGCCACTTGTCTTTAAAGTCAACATTCTGCTTTTGTTGGGTTTTGCAACTTATTCCATATCCCATGTTTTGTTCAGAAGGGTTCACTGCTATGAAAAGACTGGGGTTCTTCTTTCTTTGCCACTTTTCTTCTCCTTTGTTACCAAATATTAAAAGAAATTGCTCTCTAACTTTCCTTGACAGCATTCCAATTTGAAATTTGCAATTGACCCTCGAACAGCACAGGAATTAAGGGTGCCAACTCCTACCCCTTTCCCCTCATCCCCTCTCAGGTCGAAAATTTGGGTATAACTTCTGACTCCCAAAAATGCTAACTACCAATAGCCTACTGTTGACCATTACCTATATAGCCTTACCTATAACACGGAGAGTTGATTAACATGGTTCTTGCCATAAATTTACTAGATTTTGACACAAAGACACAGGCATACACAACAGATAAATTGATTGATTATACAGAATGGTGATTATTTACTATTCATTACATGGAAGTGGGTCATTGTAAAAGTCTTCATCTTTAAGGTCTTCACATTGAGTAGGTTGAGGAGAAGAAAGAGGAAGGGTTGATTGTGCTATCTTGGATGGTGGAGGTGGAAAGAGGCACATTTGGTGTAACTTTATGGAATTATATCATAATTTGTCTTTTTTGCATTTTCATTTCTTTAAAATGTTTCTATGCAGTACCAATCCTTCCACCATTTAGTTTCCGTGCCCATATCATAGAAGGGTCCTTGTCCTTAAAGAAGTCAAAAGCAGTCTTGACTAATCAGAGCTCTTCTGCCAAATTGTCAATTTATTTCCTGCACAACTTCTGTATCTTCTTCCTAATCATGTGGCACTGGTTAGGAAGCAGTCATTTCCATCAAGTTATCTTCCGTTAATTCCTCTGGTGTGGTGTCCGTTAGCTCTTGAATTTCTCATGATCCTTATCTCGAAGAAAATCCAAGTACAAGTGGATCCACACAGTTCAAACCTGTGTTGTTAAAGGGCCAACTGTGTATCATTAACTATTTTAGGTGTCTTGCCAATATTATATAATCATCCATTTGTAATCCTTAAAACATACCATTTTAGTTACAAGAATCCCAATGCAAAGATATTTCTCATCTCACTGGTTGATTCTGTATTATGCCCACTTTTACAGTGGTAATTAAACCATAAAGAAAAAGAATCTCAAAATGCAATTTACACAGTTCATCCAAAGTCACGATACAGAACAATTTAAAGCAGTATTGCATACAGAAAAAGACCAATAGAGAATTTTAAGTTGGGAGTGATATTTACAGCAGTGACTTAGCCAAACAATCCAACAAATAGAAAAATAATTTATTTTACATTTAGTGCAGAAAGTGATGGATTACTCTGAGTCTTAGGGAATAGTTTAAAACAATTACCTCATTCTACATACCCCTAAGGAGCCCTAGTGGAGCATTGGTTAAGTGCTTTGCTGTAAACCTAAAGGTCAGTGGTTCAAACCCACCAGCCATTCCTTGGGAAAAAGATGTGGCAGTCTACTTCCCTAAAGAATAGTCTTTAAAGTCCCATGGGGCCATTCTACTCTGCTCTATAAGGTTGCTGTGAGTTGGAGCTCCATCAACAGCAAAGGGTTTGGTTTTTGGTTTTCGATAACCCCTCTTACTGGAAGAACCAGGCACATTTGGTGATTCTGAAAATCACCCAAATGCCATTTGTAAATTGTTAACAATTTTGTTTTTTGCTGGAATATATCATAGGTTCTTTTCTAATAAATTTTCAGTGTTACTTCATTGGAGAGCAGAGATTGCTACTTCAATTTTAGTTAAATCTTTCTGGGAAACTCCAATGAGTTGTCAATATTAAAATGGTTTTACGTTTTACTAGTTAATTCATGGAATCCAGAAGATTTATATACAATAAAATTGACCTACTCAAATGATTAAATTTTATCTCGAGTGTGCTGGATTTCTTTCAGTTCTTTGCAGATAGTAGTTAATACAGCCTTGCTATGTTAGATTTTTGTCTTATGCCTCAGTGATGATAATGCCAAAAAAAAAAAAAAAACCAACTACAGCTTACTATGTTAATGATACATTGATGTTGTATCTAACATCACTTTAGCATGATATCCCCTAAAAATATGCATGAGTTAGATTTCAAAACCAAAGGTTTTATTTGTCAAAATTTACTGGACTTTCACACTCAAGGTCTGTTTATTTTGTTCTATGTAAATTGTACTTCAAAGAAAAATATTAAAAGACAAAGGAAATGAAAATTATGCATGATCTTACCACCTTTAAAGAAGTATTTGAGCTGTTTTACCATATTACATATAAAAAGATCAGGATCTTGGAGCAAGGGGAAAATTTAAAGGTAAGGCACACAAGGTGGGAATAACAATCTGAGTGAAGATTACAAAAATGCATGACAGCAGGTCCTTTGTAGTTGCTAAAAGAGAGACAAAAACTGGTAGGGGAGGCTTTGGTTTGCCTAAGAGTCATACACACATCCAATCCAAGTTAAAAAGTTGAGATGACCTTATTGATTAAATGGTTTTCAACTTCATAAATCTGCCCAGAAAGACTCTGAATATATCTAAAAGTTAATATTGTTTCTTGCTTAATATGTGCTTTTTTTGCACATTAACAATCTACTTCAGTTTTTCAACCCATTGGGAAATTTCTAATTCCCAGTTTATCCCTGAGAATTTGTTTTTGACATTTAGTAATAGTCTGTAATAATAAAGGCTATATACGTATTTTATGAGTCCTGGTGATGCAGTGGTTAAGCACTCGTCTGCTAACTGAAAAGTGGGAAGTTCAAACCCACCAGCCACTCTGGGAGAAAGATGTAGCAGACAGTTCCTGTAACAGTTTACAAGCTTGGAAATCCTATAAGGGCAGTTCTGCTTTGCCCTATAGACTCACTGTGAGTTGGAATCAACTCAAGCAATGGGTTTGGTTTTCTGGTTTTAAGTATTTCATAATAGCAATAAAATTTTCATATACATATAACCATTACTTTCAAAGAGTTTGCAA